TCAGCAGGAGGAACAGAGATCATCCCCAGCATCCCCCAGCTGGGCCAAGGCCCAGACCGTGTGCTGCGGAAAGCATGCACGTTATAGAGTCAGACTAGAGTTTAAATCCTGCTACCCCCATGACCTTGGGCAAGTCCAACCAGTCTAGCACCCACCTTCCTTACCTACAAACAGGGATAGCTTTATGGGAATAAAATCAGACAATGTCTGTAAAGCAACATGAACACTGAAGCTTAATAATATAAGGGTTAAGAGCATGAGTTTTGGCAAAAGACAGACATGGTTACAAATTGTGCCTCTGCTACTTACAAACCCTGTGAGGGCCAGGAGCATGCGCAGGAGACCCAGAGCCCCAGTCCATGGTCATCGACTTGAGGGCACTTGACCACGTGGAGAGGGAGTCCCAGAGAGGCTGTATGTCTTTGGGGCCTGGGGTGATGTGGGGTGGGAACTCCCAGGTCAGCATCGGAGGATCTTCCAGAAGGTGTGGATCTGGGGCTCATAGGTGGACATCCTCCCGCCCCCTACCCTCTGACATGACCCCACCCCTTCTCCTCTCCTCAAAGGCATAAACCAACCTGCCCATCCCTGTGGGTGACCTCGTAGGTCAGTCACTGAAGCAGATGCCAGAAGGCAGCCCGCAGCATGTTAAAATAAGGAAATAAAAGTTCATCCAAGAGACCCTCGTTGCTTATCACTAGTGACCCCCGAGGAGAATGCCCCTCCATTCTCATTAGTGTGTCTTTTTATACTCACAGACTCGGAAAATTCCTGAAAACAAAAACAGATGTGGAAATCTCGGCGCAGCCTGAATTTGAAGACCAGACCTTGGACTTCTCTGATGTGGAGGAGCTTATGGGCTCCATTAACACCATCCCAGGTGCGTATCTCACTTGTGTGCGTACTTCACACCGGTTTCCCTGAGCTTTGAGTTAGAAACTTTGATGGCTAAAAAAAAATCATAAAGATTTAGAAACAGGCATTTTCCCCCCACCAGCTGCATAAGCTTCATGGTTTCGTCTTTATAACTTGTAAGGGTGAAAACAGAGGCTGACCTTCCTGGGGTAAATACCCACCCTCACTCTCCAGGGTGCCAACATCTGGCCCCAGAAAGCCTAATTTACTCTAAGCAAGTATCCCAAATTTTATTTCCTCGACTGTTGTATTTATGTTCCTCCCAGGTGGCTGTTTTTAGCATAGGGTTAAGAGATGGGCTTTGGAATCCTATGGAGCTGGTGAGAATCCCAGCCCTGCTACTTCCTAGCTGTGTGACCCTGGACAACTTACCTAACCTCTCTGAGCCTTGGTTTCCTTGTCTGTAAAATGGACATAATCATGACTCATGGGGACATGGCAGGAAATAAATAAGGTAATGTACGTACAGCATGTCACACGGTGCCAGGTAGCTCTTAAAAATCTTATTGTGATAACTTATTTTTAAGAATGATACTACAATTTAGCTTTTACTGATTGCTCACCTTTCCTTTCTCACCAGCACCCAGCAACATTCTGAACAATGTTTTGTATATCATTTTGGTTTTTCCTTTATACAGGTTTTTAAAAAATAAAAATGGAATTATTGTTTTGTAATCTGCTTTCTTTTTTTAGCAAAACAATTGTGACGAATATTTTCTCGCACTGATAAATTCTTCTACATCACTCTGATGGCTAATATATACCTTAATCTGTTTACTTAATCCTCAACTGTTGGATGCCGAGACGTTCTTAGGTTTTTCACCATTATAAACCATACTGCAATGAATGTCCTTAATTATAAATCTTGGAGGCCATTCTTAGACTTACTGGGTCAAGGGGAGATTTCACTGAACTATGAAGTCCTTTGGATGGTCTAGGGATGGTGTTGCCCAAGTAATCAGGCCCAGTCTTTTGGAAGGAAAGGCACTATCGCCCAAGTCAGCGCTTGAGAAACATGGAGATTTTTCCACATCCTCCTGTGTCCAGGTCCCATGCAGACCATCACCCTCTTGCTTCCAGCTGGAGCCATCCCTCTTCTTACTGCATCCCCTGATGGGGCTGTTCTCTGCAGGGTATAGAAGGCATCTTCTGTGCATCCTGAACTCCATCACATGGGGATACATGTTCTTTCTCTTCTCACCTTTGTCATGTTAGGGTCTTCCAGCCCCTAACCAGCAAGGAAAGGCTGAGTTCATTCCTTTAAGCCTTACCTGGACTGAACAATTTCAGAATTTGAAAATAAGGATGTTCTTGAAAGCTTGGGATGGAGGGAGGTGCTGCCATTGGAGAATTATGGAAGAAAAACAAGGAGTGTTTCTTGGTTGTGGGTGAGCCTGTGTGGGGCTGGGGGAGGCAGAAATATTAACCTACATAGAAGAAAAGAATTAACTCAGTAGATGGACTCTAAAGAAGTTGGTTCTGAAAAGCACAATTTGGCCAAACCCAATCTTCTCTCATCATAATGAAGGAGACAGTTGTTGGATGGGTCCCCCAGAAAAAGCAAGGCATCCCTGTTAAGGCTTCTTTCACTCCTCTGTTCACTCCAGGGCTGAGGGCAGTAGTGCTGTGGTCCTGGCTGTCCTGCCTCTTTGGATGGTGTGGAAGGGTCAGAGGACCCATCCCTAGGTCAGGACTTACAAACCATACCCCAGCCTGAATTGCTGTCACCAACCCCACTTCCTCTAGCTTGTGTGGATTTGTCAAAGCAGGAACGGACATACCGATTGCTTCAGGCTCACGGTTGGGGGGTTTGGCCTTCCCATCCCTGTCCACTCTGGGCTGCCTCTTCCATCAAGCCCAAGGATGCATTGAGGGATTGGTTGTCCTGTAAAAGGGGCCATTCCCAATTCATACCTCTACTTAAGCCTCCTCCTTTGTTTTGTTTTTCTCTGTTTTCCTTTTCTAGCTCCTTCTGCTCCAGTGATAAACCCACAGGCCCCCAACTCAGCCACAGTTTCCTCAGTCCGAGTGTGCTGGAGCTTATACTCCGATGACACCGTGGAGAGCTATCAGCTATCCTACTGGCCAGTGCAGGACAGCTCGCCTGGGAAGGACCGAGCAGGTGAGGCTCTGTCAGGAACAGAACCACGCTCCAGAACAGCTAAGGCCCCTCGGAGGCCAGGGCCCTGCCTTCCTGGAGGTTGGGAAGGTAGAGATGGGATGAACCTGCACACCTGGCTCCTTGGAGCTGTCACGATCTGGGAACTACACAGAGGATGGGATGCAGGCAGGTGAGCATGGCAGAAAGGAAAGGGAAGGCAAGTTGGGGCCTGACTGGGGAGGATCACAAGGCCAGGCTAAGGTATATGGACTGTATCTACCACCGTCGGGTCAGAGTTGTCCTTGGGATAAGTCTCTGGCTGCACTGTGTGCAAGAGGGGTGGGGACACCCCTCCTTGAAGAGGCCCAGCTGGATTGGCTGGGTTCTAGCAGGTCCTGGCATGTGAGCACGGGCTGGCTCTCCTCAGAGCAACCCTGTGTTGGGAGAATCTGGAGGGTTAGTCTGCAGACCCCCATGGGGGTTGAGGGGGGTTCTGCAGCCTGGGAGGGCTGCTCCTGATCTGATCCACATTCCCAGATGGAGCCAGCTGCTGGGAATGGCCCCCAGCCTCCACTGTGGGCAGCTCTTGGCTCATTCTCTTCCCAGGGAAATGGAGCTGGCAGGCCTGGGGTTAGGGCTGAGATACCTGCCTACCCCCCATAATAGATAAGCCAGTCTCCTATTGAGAAGGGAGAGTCAAGAGAGCAGAGGAGGGGACTTCCCTGGCGGTCCAGTGGTTAAGACTCCATGCTCCCAATGCAGGGGGGCATGGGTTCGATCCCTGGTCGGGGAACTAAGATCCCACAGGCTGCATGGTGCAGCCAAAAAAAAAAAAGAGAGAGAGAGCAGAGGAGCCCCAGTTGAGCATCTGAAGGAATCAGGGATTAGGGCCAGCCTGGCAGGGCCTGTTCTGTGTGCATGGTGTCAGAATGAGATTGCTGGAAAGGGATTTAGAGATCTCCATTTTATGGATGAGGAATCTGGGACCTAGAGAAATGAGCTATCTGTGGGGACACGGTGAGTTACGGCAGAACCAGGATGAGAATCAAGTCCGCAGGCTTCCTGCCCAGAGCTCTTCTCCTTGTACCGGGTCGTGCAGGTGGAGGGTTCTATGTGCCGAAGGGGAGGATGGTTTATCTGCCCAGGGATTTGGAAGGAAGGGGAATCCTTGAGAAAAGTAAGTTTAATCAATGATGAGGGAGAGTGAGGGTGGTCAGAATAAGGACTAAAGGGGGGTTGTGGGGGGGGGGGGGGAGATTTGAAAAGGGAGATTGTGGACCAAAAAGTCAGATCTGATCGATCAGTCAGTTTTTGCCACAAATCAACCCTGTTGGTACCCTCTGCAGAAGAGGCCATTGTGTTGGGGCTTTATCCTGGGGATCAATAAAGATCTTTAATGGATCACTTTGTTATAAAGGAACTGATATCAGAGAGTGGATTAATGACTTATTACTGCCTTTCAAGAGTCTGGGGATGTTTGGACGTGTATCAGTTAGCTTTTGCTGTGTAACAACACCCCCAAACACACACATGTACACAACATATTGGCTAAAAATGACAAATATTTATATTCATTCATTTGTTGGGAGGGGCAGAACAGGGGTAGGAAATTCAGAGGTACAAACTACTATGTATAAAATAAATAAGTTACAAGGCTATATTGTACAGCACAGGGAATATATCCAATATTTTATAATAACTTTAACTGGAGTATGATCTATAAAAGTATTGAATCATTATGTTGTACACCTAAAACTAACATTGTAAATCAAAGGTACTTCAATTTTTAAAATGACATTTATCCAAGAGTTTGCATGCCACAACTAAGAAGCCCGTGTGCCACAATGAAGATCCTGTGTGCTGCAGCTAAGACCCGGCACAGCCAAAATAAATAAATAAATAAATAAAATTTTAAAATAAAATAAAATGGCATTTATGATTTATTATAATTCTATGAATTGGCTGGACAGTTCTTCTGGTCTGGGTCAGCTTGGTAGGGCTGGATGGGCTAGGATGACCTTGCTTATATGTCTAGGGCCTCAGCTGCAATGGCTGAGGCCTCTGTCCATGTGATCTCATCCTCCAGGAGGCTGGCTGAAGGTTGTTTCCATGGAAGTGGAAGCATTCCTGGCAGGAAGAAGACAAGGCCCCTGTGCACCAGCACCTCCCAAATCTCTGTTTGTACCATGTTTGCTACAGTCCCATTGGCCAAAGCCAGTCACATGGTTAAGCCGAGCTTCAAGGCATAGTGGGAAAGACCAGACCTCTCAATGGAAGGATCAGCTGAGTCACGCTGCCGAGGGGCATGCATACACAGATGGGAGGAATTGGTGGCCAGTTCTGTATCCATTACAGGGGAAATAGATTACAGCGCAATGAACTTGGAGCCAGTTGGCCTATTTTAAGGTTGAATACTTGTCTTTATTTTTTCCCCAGAGTTTACGATGACGGTCAAAGAAACATATTGCTCAGTGACAAACCTTGTGCCAAATACCCAGTATGAATTTTTGGTCACAGCTCAGAACAGGGCTGGCCTCAGCCCCGCCAGTGAGTGTGCAGTGTACATGACAGGTAAGGGGGCCATTTGTTTCTGTAGCAGGACCTTCACTGAAGGGGACACAAGAGTCACGGCTTCCTTGACGTGGCAGGGCTCTTGATTTCACTTGGAAGGGCAGGAATACCTTTGCATTTTTTTCTTTCATTTAATACACCAAATCTATATGCCTGATATGGCAGGCATATCAAAAAGTACTGCTCTTGGACACAGTACCATTTGAACCTTGCAACCATCCTCCATTCCAGGAACATCTGAAAGGGATTCCCTGGTGTCTCAGTCCATTTGGGCTGTTATAACAGAATCATACAGATTGGGTGGCTTATAAACAACAGAAATTTATTTCTCATGGGTCTGGAGGCTGGGAAGTCCAAGATCAAGGTGCCAGCAGATTCAGTGTCTGGTGAGGACCCATCCTGGTTCAGAGTCAACTGTCTTTTTTGCTGTGTCCTCACATGGCAGAAAGGGGAAAGGGAGCTCATTGGGTTTTCTTGTATAATAAACCCCTTTGACCCTCATGACCTAATCACTTCTCAAAGATTCCAGATACCATCACATTGGGGAATAGGTTTCAACATATGAATTTGGATGGGGACACAAATGTTCAGTCTATAGCTTTCTATTGCACTGAATCTCTTGCAAGAGAGTGCTTGCGATGTCTGCCCATGCTCTGGACCACAGGGCTGGATGTGAACAGGTTTGTTCATCTCTCCCTTTCCCCTGCATTTAGCGCCTTGTCCCCCCATTATGAAAAGCAAAGAGATAAAGAGCTGTGAAGAGGCTGCGCTGATCTGCTGGGAGTCTGGGAACCTGAATCCTGTGGACTCATACACGGTGGAGTTGACCCAGGCAGAAGTGCCGGAAGCCTCGGGCGTAACTGAGTGAGTCATGAGGGGCATTGGCTGGGCACGAGAGGCCTTGACACAGAGACACAGCTTAGGAAATGTGTGGAGTCTGGAGAGGTCAGAATTTGTGACACACAGGAACCTTAATTTTAGGTTGCTTAGTTTTGTGAGAAATACCTGGAATGCTACCATTGAAGGTGAATGATGGATGAGTGAATAAATGATAAACCTCAGGTTTGCTTTCTTAGCACAACCAAGGTTTACCATCATTCATTCAACAAGTATTGAGCGCATAGGTGGTGCCTGGACGTTGGTGAACCAGACAGACGAATTCCCCACCCTTCCAGAGCTGACAGTCGAGTGGGGGGAAATAAACCAAAACCAAGAAAACAAATGCTTAAAATACACAGTTCTATGAAGGGAAAAGAAACTCGATGAAATAGGGAATGCGGTGGAGGTGGGGGCATACTTTGGATAGAGTAGACGTCTGAACTGAGACCTGATGCATGGGAAGGGTTGAGGCCTGAGACAGTGGATGGAGGCAGCACCTGGCCCCTGGGCAGGCGTGAGCTTCCTGTACTGGAGGAAGCAGGAGACCCACCTGGCTGGAATTTAAGAAGTAGAGAGGACTGTGAGAGGCAGAAGTAAAAGAGATTAGATTTCAATGTACAAACATCATGTCCATGGTAGAAGGCTGTCTGGAGGCTCACATTCCTCTTTGGTTGGCAGAGATCTGGAGGGGTTCACAGATAAAAGAAGCTGGACTCAGTGACCACAAGGGCCTGCAAATCCTACAAATCTACAGCTGTGTACAGTGGAGGAAACATGGATGTACCTCTGGGTTACAACCAGGCAGTGCAGAAGCTTGTGGAAGGGGAATGAACCAGGCAGCCTGGTACCAGCCACCAAGTCCCAGGGGCTTCCCTGCTCTGGAGAAATGGAAGAGAGGGGTTTGGTGTCAACAGATTCTTCCATGCTAAATTCAGGGTTTGGGCCATGGCCATCTATCCCACCCACCCATTTGCCCCAGGTAGAATCCATATGTCCACGAGAACATCAGGGCTGCTGACCTTAGTTGCTGACCTTGCCTGCTGATCTACTCCTGGGGATCCTCAGAAGCAGGGCAGTGAGTCCAGTGGTCTGGCCACCTGAATGGTTTGGATTTCCTTTGCAACTTGTGCTGATACTTTAAGGGCACCTGATACCTGGGACCAGCCCATTATGACTGGGGTCATCAGAAGGCTGGTCAGTGACCTAGGTGATCTGGGATGGTGCTGACTCTCCTAGTATAAACCTAATCATGGCATCCTGTTGCTCTGGAGAAAAGACAAAATTCCTTCACAGGCTCTGGCCCCTTCCTGTCTCTCCAGGTTAACCACACCAGCTCTCCCTCCCTCTCTGGCCCCAACCACATTGGTCATTATTTTAGTTCCTCCTACTTTCCATACTTCTTCCTGCCACAGGACCTTTGCACATGCTTCTTCTATGTAGGAGACTCTTCTACTCTCTTTTTATCCAATTACCTCCTCGTCATTCTTCAGAGTTCAGCTCAAAAGTCACCTCTCCCCTACTATACCTTCTATAGTACACTGTCAACTTGTCATGGTTACCATCTTATGTTTCTTCCAGTGATGGCTTGAGAAATGCCTCTCTTATAGACTGTAAGCTCTATGAGGACAGGGACTACATTAATTTTCCCTAGGGCCTCCCTATACAGTCTCTGAAACCTAAGGTGTTTAGTTAATACTTATTGAATGAAGGGACTTCCCTGGTGGCGCAGTGGTTAAGACTCTGCACTCCCAATGCAGGGGCCAGGGTTCGACCCCTGGTCAGGGAACTAGATCCCACTTGCATGCTGCAATTCAGAGTTTGCATGCCACAACTACGGAGCCCTTGAGCTGCAACTAAGGAGCCAGAGAGCTGCAACTAAGGAGCCCGCCTGCTGCAACTAAGACCCAGAGTAACCAAATAAATAAATAAAATTTAAAATACTTATGGAATGAATATGTAAAAGTGCCCCTCTGCCCAGAGCTGTAGCCTCAGAGTGACCTGGACATCCCGGCCTCGCCAGGTGTGGGTGTTGTATCTGATGTAAATGGGCATCACCCTGAAGGCTTCTCTTTCCTACTGAACTGAAATGGGGTTGGCAGCTGCAGGAGTAGAGACAGTGGCAACCATGGGCTTGTAATCCTGTATTGTACCACTTGCATAAATTGGATTATTCCCAGTAGGTAGCTGCCCTCAAAGAGGTTAATAGCAGTGGGCTTCTGTGGGCCTTTCAGCTCTAGCCAGATCATTTGTTCATAAATGCAGACTGAGAGCCTGCTAGGGGCCCAGCGCTGTGCTTATGTAAGTGGTACTTGACCCCTGCCCTCAGAGAGGTTGTGGCCCTACCAGACAGACTGAGACACACTGGATTCAACTGCATGCATGTCCCCGCCATGCAGCGTTAGACAAGGTGCCTGGGACACGGGGTGGGGAGCTTGGAGGGGAGAGAGCCAAAGACAGAAGGAATACAAAGAAATGAGAAAAGTGGACCGGAGTGGGAGGGAGCACTGAGGGGGTCAACACTCCTGCCTGCACTGCTGCAGAGGACAGGGGTGGCGGCGGGGGGGGGGAGTTAAAAATCCCTGCTTTGAAAGGGAGGCCTGGTGCTTGGGCCTGGCTGCCTCGGCCCCAGGGTGACTTCAGCTGCCTCCTTGCCCAGGTCTGTTGTGGGCATCCCCACCTGCGAGTGCCTGGTGCAGCTACAGCCCCGGCAGAGCTACACCATCTACGTGCGAGCCCTCAACGTGGGGGGCCCCAGCGCAAGAAGCGAGCCTGCTACAGTCCACACCACAGGTCTGTGACCCCCACCGCATACTCTCTGGGCCCAAAGTGACCCCCTTGTAGCAGACCCAGGGCTGCTATGACTTCATTGTTAAATCGATAAATGTTCACTGATATGAACACATGGCAAGTCAGGCTGGGAAGGGGCTCAGGGGTGATCAAAGCCATGGGGTCCCATTTTACAGAAGGGGAGACCGAAGGCCCAAGTCATACAGCAGTGGGGTGGCTGAGCAAGCATTAGAACTCAGGGTTTTTCTCCATGACCTTCAGGTGGACTAGAGGCTTGTCACACTGGACCTGGGTGGCCCAGAAACCACATTTCACACAGGCTGAACACCACCCCTGGGACATGGTCTTTATGAAATTCCCAGGAAGAGCCATGGGCCATGGATTATCTCCCTGCTATCAGCCCAAACATCTCCTCACCCACAGGCCCAACGTAGCTCTGGATGCCTTAGTGGGTGCCCACATCCATGTCCAGCTCCCACCCCCTGCCCGCACTTGCCATCAGCACGTCATAGAATTGTCACATCTCATGTTCAAGTCCTGAGTCAGCAGAGATATCACTAGAAACATTCCATGCATCTCCTGCTATCCCAGCACTGACACGGCTCTGGGTTCTAAGCTTTGCTAAGGTGCGCTAAAGCCAGGTGGCTCTTCCCACACCTCAGAGAGCAAGCCCAGCTCAGGCCAGCTGCAGATTGGGTGACAGGCAGGTAAGAAGCAGGAGGGAGCCTGGGCCCAGGGCTCAGGGGACATCGTTCCTTTGGCTGGGATCTTTCACTGAGGGATGTAGGGTTATTTTGTCCTCATTTCCAATACCAGGAGGAAAGGTATGCGATTAGTCCCCACTTATGTTCCTTCCACAGAAATGCGAAAAACAAGTTATGTGGCTGCCGAAGGCGGTAGGGGTTAGGGCTGGGATTAGGACTCAGGTTTTTCTTTTATATTGTGATGGAACTTTCCTTTGGTTGACTGGCATTTCTAATTTCTTGTGCTGACTTGGTGTTCTGAAATGTCAAATTCTGGCTGTTTTGATAAGAGAACAGAGCAAAAGGTACAGCCAGCCCTTGGTTATTATTGTCTCTGAATTCCTTTGTTCAAATAATTTGTTAAGAGTGTATTTACAAAAAACTTAAATAAACATGAATCGGCAAAAGACATATCTATCGGTTCAAAAAACGATCCTTGTTTGGGCCTAGAGAGCAGGCAGTAAGGGCCATTCCTGTCAGCTGCAAGGTGGGAACCTGCCTCCCCCTGGTCCATCCGCTCAGATAGCAAATGAAATTTCCAGCAGCATCGAATTGTGGAAATAAATGTGGACAGCTTGGGGCTTCACTGGTGGTGCAGTGGTTAAGAATCTGCCTGCCAATGCAGGGGACACAGGTTCGATCCCTGATCTGGGAAGATCTCACGTGCCACGGAGCAACTAAGCCCGTGCACCACAACTACTGAGCATGCGCTCTAGAGCCCATGAGCCACAACTACTGAAGCCCGCGCGTCTAGACCCTGTGCTCTGTAACAAGAGAAGCCACCGCAATGAGAAGCCCGCGCACCATAATGAAGAGTAGCCCCCGCTGGTTGCAACTAGAGAAAGCCCATGCACAGCAACCAAGACCCAACGCAGCCAAAAAAGAAAAAAAAAAAGTGAACAGCTTGATGGCGAGGCCTGAAGTAGAATTTGAAGCAATGGACATGACAGAATGGGAACTGAGGAGCTTAAGAGACCATGATAGAGAATGAGTTACTATGTCCCTAAACAAAGGATTTTTTAAAAAACTAATTTCTTATTAAACCCATTCGGTAACTTTTTTTTTTATGTGCTTTGTTTTAACCATGATTTGGAGAGGGTTACAATCTCCTTCCTTCTCCCCGGCTGCCCTAATTGAAAGTTGAATGTGGAATTTTGCTAACCTTTGTCAAATTGATCGTTAAGAATTTCCTCAATTGCTATTCCCCTTGGCAAGTAGGTTAGAAATTCCTGTTCGCCAGCAGGTATTTACAGCCTCCCATTTGAGGGCGCAGCCACTGGAATCAGAAGGGCTTGGGGTTGGAATTTGAGTTCTCTCATCTGCCAGCTGACTTCTCAACCACCCTGCACCTGTTTTCTTCTCTACAAGATGGAAATACTAACCCCTGGGTACTCGTAAGGAGTGAATGAGATAAGAGTTACCGCTTAGCTCAGTACTAGACTCACAGTAATCCCCAACACATGTTAACAGCCACCATTATTAGCATGAGGATCACTACCACGCAAAGTCCAGGCTCACGTGTATCGTGCAGGAAGCTAAGCCGGCCAAGCATGGTGAAGCCTCGGCCCGCATGGAGCGCAATGTGGAGAAAGCAGAGGAGTGACTGGCTGTTGGAGGGTGTGTGTGTCTGTGTGCTTCCTCCCCTCGCAGGCAGCTACTTTCGCCTGAACGAGCACACCTGCCATCCCTGGCTGACAGTTTCTGAAGATGGGCTTACGGTGGTACGAAGTGAGAGGAAAGCCCCCGCCAGGGAGCCGCTCCCCAGCGACGCCCGCTTTACCAGGTACTGTATCAGCCCCTCACCCACCTGAACAGTCTGTGAACCAGCCTAATACATGCTGTTATTCGGGTAAAGTTGGATTATGACACATGCAGCCTTGAAGGGGGCTTCAGGCTCACTCCTAGAAATGAGTGAGGGGGAGGGGAAGGTGGGGAGCGGAGGCTGGGGAGAGGGGAGTAGGGGTCTGGCTGGTGCCAGCAGAGGAGACGTGTTGTGGCCTCTGAGGTGGAGTCCTGGGCTCCCAGGGCTGGAGGGTCACACCGTCAGGCCGTGAGAGAGCAGCAAGGACCCAGGTCCCCCAGTGCTTGGCCCAGAGCTCTCTCTCCCACACTGTGATACTATCTAACAAAAGCCCTGGTGAAAAACCAGCCCAAAGCTGGTGGAGGGAATGGTGGTCGTGCTAGTGCACGACCTGAGAGAGGGCCGTCCATCAAAGATGCGCCTTGTCTGTCTGGATCTGTGCTATCTCCAGAGCTTAGTACTCAAGGTCAAAATGATGTATTTGTAACTCATTTCTTTCCAAATGCTTAAAGAAGACTTAAAATAGGGGGCAAGGGACTTCCCTGGTGGTCCAGTGGTTAAGACTTCACCTTACAATGCAGGGGGTGCGTGTTCGATCCCTGATTGGGGAGCTAAGATCCCACATGCCTCGTGACCAAAACAAAACCAAAAGAAATAAACAGAAAAAATATTGTAACAAATTCAATATAGACTTTAAAAATGGTCCACATCAAAAAAAAATCTAAAAAAAAAAACGGGGCAAATATGCCCTACTGAAATAGAAAAATCACAGCGATAGATGAAAAAAAAAGAACACAGCTTAACTTCAAGGGCTAATTTCTGTTTCCAAGATTAAACATTAAACACAGCTCTTAGCTTCCTGGTAATCAGGATGAAAAGAATTCTCGGTGGGTTGGTCTTAGAGTCAGGAGGATCTTATAAGGAAGAAAAGGACTCTCTTAGGGGGGCCAGAGGGGCCACCGATGGAAAACTGCATCCAGCCTCCCTGCCTGGGTCCTGGACTGTCCTGCAGCCGACACTTCCTCTGACACTCGCTCCCTATTGGCCTTCTTACTGCATGTGTGTTACATACCTACTATATGTAAGTGTTAGCGTGTGACAGCAGAACAGCACACAGTACAGTGGAACACAACTTTATCCTTTCCTGCCTCTGCCCACTCAACCCAGGGTTGGGGGGGCACAGAGAGGATTATGAAGCAATAAAGTCCTTACCTGTGTTAAAAAAACAGAATGCAACTGATCAAATCTTAAAGATCTTATTGGCTTTTTTTCAATAATTCATGAGTTGGGCAGCCTCTAATCTACAGCATTTCTATGGTGGGTCTCCTTCATATGTGGTCCTCTGAAAACACACACCTTTGACCAGGCCACTGCTACTTCACTCTGTGTGGATTATAAGACAGCTCTCCGGGTAGACACAGCCTCAAGCATCTTCAGCTTCAACCCTTTGGTGTTGCACTACAAGTTGCAAAACCAGTTTTTGGCCATGTCTTTTGCAAGTCCTGTGTAGGTGGTCCAGCATCTCATATTGTAATATGGGAGTACTTACCACCTACTGTTCCGGTCTTGGCTTTTGGGGTTCCAGCCAAGCTGAGTTAGAGTCCCATTTTAATGTCCTGTTACCAGTACATCTGTTGACCCATGAAACAATGTGCTGTGTGCTGGGGGTAAAGAGACAAAGATAGTCCCTGGGCCGCCCTACTGGCGCAGTGGTTAGGAATCCGCCTGCTAATGCAGGGGACACGGGCTCCTGCCCCGGTCCAGGAAGATCCCACATGCCACGGAGCGGCTAGGCCCGTGAGCCATGGCCGCTGAGCCTGCGCATCCGGAGCCTGTGCTCCGCAATGGGAGAGTCAATACAAAAACATAAAAAGGGCAAAGAAATCAGAGAAAAAGAAGGGTAAGGAAGAGCACTATTAGCCTTACTTGACCAAGGGGACTCAAGGAATACTATCTCCTAGTTGACAGAGTAAGAAAAAGTATGTAAGGACATGGCTTAAATTTGCAAAGTATGTAAGGACATGGAAATTTGCATGGCTTCTCAAAATGTGAAACATGGATCATGATAGTACAGGAGATGAATTTAATGGTACAGAGACTCACTCCTTCCTCCTCTCCTTCCATCCATCCATCCATCTCAGTTACTCTATATCTGCCAGGTGACGTGTTTTTTATTTTTGGTAAAACATAATTTTCTTTAAAAAAAGATATTTAAGTTACAAAGTAAGTTAATTTTAAATAAGAAATAATAACAAAGGTGGCAGGCAGATATAACAAAAAAAAAAAAAAAAAAAAAAAAAAAAAGAAGTGTGAACTGGGGAGGGAGGGGGAGAGGCAGATGGGGACCAAGGAGACCAGAAGCAAGTGCTGGCCAGCTCATGAACCTCAAGCATATGGTTCCATCGACCGTGCTGTGTTGTTAGGTTTCAGTCCCCTTTTTTTTTTTTGGCCACGCCTTGTGGCATGTGGAATCTTAGTTCTCCAATCAGGGATCGAACCCACACCCCCTGCAGTGGAAGCGCAGAGTCTTAACCTCTGGACCACCAGGGAAGTCCTCAATCCAAGAATCTTTCTTCATGAACAAGTGAACCAAACCTTTTTGTTACTATAAAAGCCCAATCACTGTAAAAAGCAAACAGAACCTTTTCTATTGGCTTGTCTCCTCCTCACCTATAACCAGCAGTATAATAATCCTCTTCTAATCTTCAGCGTCAGTCAAGTAAGCTTTGAGAGTTAGGGCTGTGCTGCTTTACAAGTGGGTATTCAAACACCTGCCTCCACACTTCTAGACCACCTACTGACTGACCCCAGCAGTTGGTGTCACTCACCTGCATAGCCGGGCTTGGGTCACCCCAAATCACAGATGCTTCTACTTTCTAAAACCAGGTGTGTTGCTGTCATGGGAAACCTAATTCCAGTCCGAGGGCGCCATTACTGGGAGGTGGAGGTGGACGAGTGTTTGGATTACACAGTGGGTGTGGCCTTTGAAGATGTCCCTAAACAGGAAGACCTGGGAGCAAACCACCTCTCCTGGTGCATGAGGCACACATTTGCATCATCAAGGTAAGGTGAAATCTGGATACCCAAGATTAAAAGGTGCTTTGAAAAGAAAAGAGTGAGAGGTTTCCACTAGTAGTAACTAAGGCCCACGTTATGTTTTCTAAAATATGCTAAGATATTTCAGGACTCATTTCCAGCCCCCTTCCCTAAAGTCCAGATGGAAAGAGAAAGCAGCTCTGGGTACTTCCAATAAAATAGCTAAAATTCATGGAGTACTTATGCTACGCTAAGCACTGTTCTACACTCTTACACATACTATCTCGTTTACTTCCCACAATTGTATTATCCCATTTTAAAGATAAGAAAGCTATGTCCCACAGCAGTTCAATAATCCAACCAGCATGGATTCAGAGCTTGGATTCAAACCCAGGCAGTCTGGCTCCAAAGACAGCATTCTTCACCACTAAGTGATTGGCTTTGCATTTATGTTCAACTTCATTGTTACTAAATGAATAGTTTGACTTGAAGCCCCAATTCCATCTTTTTTAGTAGATGTGGGCAGAGGCTTAATGGTTATGGTTAATTCCAGTTTGCTTCTGTCGCTAAGCATTCTGTCCTCTACTGGAGTAGTTCCATAAAGCTGGGAAAATCCATGAGGCCCAGGCCAATAGACATTTCAGACTTAGAAGGCCATGGGTGCAACCACTCTCCATCTCAAAAATTGCCAAAATTTTTACCACATCAGTTTCCCAGTACCGTGGGTACTATGGGGCCTCTGATCCTCGACTTGCTGAATCCTATTAATGTTTCATCCAATGTTTTGTGCCCAGGAGCCTCCATCGTGGTTAGTTAAATGTTGTCATGCCTAAGCAAAGGTGAGAAGAGCAACTTTCCTCCTGTAAGATATTAAGACTAAAATCAGCTCTGCTAAACCTCAGACCCAGCTTGAGGAATGAAAGAAATCCCGTTCACTGAGCCACATACTGTTTTTGGATATTCTGCCTGAAGTAAGACTAAAAAAATCAGTCTCCTCTCCTAGTCGGTTAAGAACAAGGGGCAGGGAACAACTGAAGGCGCATAAAAGACAAGGAGGAGTCTGTGTGGAGTGGGAGAGGTGAGGTTAAAAGACAGAAGGGTGGGAACACAAGACAGAGTGAAAAAGGAAGGGCGAAAAGCCCAGTGCTAGAGCAGAAGTTTGTAGTCCCACCTTGGAAAGATGTCCGGGGAAGGGGGGTGGGTGGTGGTATTTGTGTGTGTCTCTTAACAGTGGAGGACTCATATTTTTTGTTTCATAGTCTTAGACTCTATTGGTGGTGAAAGGGAAAGTAGAGGGAAGGGCTCATTCAGTTTCTGTTGACTGCTCAGTTAAGAAAAAAACAAGGTGAACTGGGATGGAAAGAGGCTGGTTTGTTCCGACACATCTGGATCATATTCTAAGCGTTCATCCCAGCCATGTGGACCAGCATGCTGGCACACAGAACTTCAAACATCCATAGGGGGCAGAGCTAGGAAATTCCTGTGGCCGCCTTTGGTTTCAGCCATTTTCAAAGCACAAAGGAGAAGTACCCTTCCTTCATGAGAGGGTGCTGGTGCTATACAATACTAAGTGGTGACAGGCCCCCAGGTGCCCCCCTTAGTTTGAAAGTTTAGGAAAGGGATGCCTCAGAGTACTTGTGCACAGATTATACCAAAAGGCCCAATTTATTACATGGAAGATCGTGAGGCTTCCTGTTTCAAATGTCTTTATTACAAGGGATTTACACATCTGAACCTTGAAATCCACATTTTTAAATGTATTTCTATACAAATTTTGATGCAATATGAGTTTATGATACTGTATGTTAAATTTCTGCAGTTAAGTGGCTGCTCAAAAACAGAGTTTTGAAATATAAGTTTCTTAGGACATGTTTTAGAAAAGAGATATATAGTTTGAGAAATGGCCTGTTACTTTGATAGTCATTTAATAAAAGAAAATGATATAATTACAGGAGTACTTGAAAATTGAAAATGTTCTGTAAATAGCCCATCTACAGAATTTCTGAAGCTTTGTTATATCAACGTTTAATCTTTAGGCATAAGTATGAATTTCTACACAACAAGATGACTCCAGATATAAGGATAACGGTTTCCCCAAGCAAGATTGGAATTCTATTAGACTATGAAAATTCAAAACTCTCATTTTTCAACGTGGACATTTCTCAGCATCTGTACACGTTCAGTTGTCAGCTTCACCAATTTGTGCATCCCTGTTTTTCTTTGGAAAAGCCTGGATGTCTAAAGATACACAATGGCATTTCAATGCCAAAGCGCGTCACTTTCTATTAGACCATTTTGATGCCCAGCTTCCTGTCTCTTTTCTGTACCTACCCCTCTCCCAGCCACTCATGCCTCAGCTGCCTGGACTTGGCATTCAAGCACCATGCACCCAGCTCATCATTTATGGTTCATGTTGTTATCTGCCAGACTGTTGTGCTGGCATTCATTTCACCTGACTTGGATCCTGTGTGCTGCCACCTGTGTGATGCTAGGTTAGTCAGTTCTGGCTGTAAAATGAAGGCTCAGACTAAATGAACTCAAAGGTCTTTCAGGTTGTCAAACTGTATTGGTCTACCTGTGTATATGCAAAGTATCTGAGTCCCCAAGGCCTACAGAGCTTGGGGGAGAAGGAGGGAAGAGATACATAAGTGTTAGTGGCTCCAGGTGCCCCAGCACTTGTGACATTTCATTAGTCAGCCAAGAACAGGCGTAAGGTGGCAGGAGGTCACCCACAAAGAGAACCAGGGTAACCACGTGCCGTGCTCAGCAGCCTTCTCCTCTCCTGTTTTCCTAGTAGTCAGTGGCACTCTGGTGAGGTTTCTCCCACCGAACACTTTCTAAAAACCTGCTCCTCTACTTCATAGTACTTACCCCCTTTAATTTTGAAATGATCTTTGTAAAACCTAATTCCATGAAGGCAGGACAGTATCTGTCTTGTTCATCACTCAATCCCCAAGGGCTAACACGTGCACACCAAATACTTGTTTCATCCAGCCACTGCTCTTCGGCCTCGCACTGCTCTCCATGTGAGGGCTGGCAGGGCTTATTCAAACTATTGCAGAAGACCGATGGCAGGAGAGGGACAAACCTGAGGGGGGGCAGTATGAAGGAAGAGAGGGGCAACTGTGGCTAGATGGCAAGACTGGTAAAAATGCAACATTACCTACTACTACATGCTTCCTGGTGTCACACAGCAGCCTACACATAAATAATAATAAATGTGTTGCTTTCACTGTGTGCACGTTTGGGGTAGGGGGGCTAAGGTCTGGTAAAAAATAGACAACATTAGTTGCAACTGATTCTAGGAACTGCCCTATAATGTAAAGAGAACCAGATTTGAAATCAGAAGACCTGAGTTTGATTGCTATTTTGTAGCGATTCTGCGACCACTGAAAAGTCACATTATCTCCCTGAGCTTCTGTTTCTCTTTAAACAAAGAGAAAAATAATACTTGTCTTATAGGATAGGAGATTTAATGACAAACATGAGAATGCATAACAGTGTATGACATATAGCAAATGCACAACAATCTTTTAAGAGAAAATATCAGTCCACCAAGTGCAAAGCTGAGCCCTGGTAGGAGAGGTGGTCTCCAGCCAGCACCTTTGGGCATCCTGCCTCACTGGTCTCATGCCATTTTGTGACCTCGATGCCCAGCTCCCTTGGCTGCATTTCTGGTTCTCCAGTTCAAGTTTCCAGTTGCCACTTAAAGCTCTGCACACACAGCATTTTCATGCTTACCAGTCAAGATGCAGAGTAAATGACTCCACCTGTAAAGCAGTTCTCAGGCACAATTTAGTATCGTGCCCTGTAGATGCTTCTCTAAACATATATGCCCCTGATCTCATCACTTAAAGTTTTACATTAACTGAAAAATCTTTCACTTTAAAGATTTTCATTTTCATGTTTCCCAGTACACTCAAAGTCTGACACAAGGAGCACCTCATCTCCTATCCCAAAACTCTGCCTATTGGTATAAACAGAAGTTCAGATTCTTGAATTCACAACTCAACTTGAAAATCTTAAAGCTCATTACAAACACACACACACACCCCTCTGCCCTGCCAACCTGGATCACTACCCTTATATAAGGAAGATACAACCAAAGCAAGCACAGCGATGGTTCAAGTTACAAACAATTAAAATATATGTATGTATTATCAAAAATGTTATCAGCTACTAAAAAAGAAACTACTGAGTAGGAAGTAGGACATCACAGATAAAGTTTGAATTCAGGATTCTAATAGGCTTTATTTCACATGTAATATAACATGGATAAAAACTAGGCACCTATAAGGTTCTAATAAAATTTTATTTGATCAAGAAAAAAATGGTGTAGAAATAGCTTTGATTTTTTAAATCCACTTAATCTAAATAAGGCAGATGACCAACTTCAAGCATCACAATTATTCAGCATAAAGAACCTTTCTTTAAACATGTTTCTCATCTTCCACAAGAAAAAAAAAGTCTAGAAAAAAACCAAAACAAAACTTTTGGTTTTTGTAACATATTCTGGTTCCTTAAAATGCCAAGAACAATCTGCTGGAACTAAATTTCAATAAGGGGCAGGATTTACCTCAAGGCCATGTTCACCTGCAACCTGCTGATAAATCTGTTAAAAAACAAAACAGAAAAAGATTTAAAAAAAAAAATCAGACCATTGTAGCCACAATCCCTCATACTGGGCAAAAGATACCAAAATCTGTTCTTTTCTTAGCTTTACCTATATCACTTTATAACTCTTGAGCAAGTTATTAACATAATCTTTGGCTTCCCCACCTTAACAAAGGGGAAAGAGAATATGTAAAACCACCACAGAATCCTGGTGTAAACTAACACGGGTTTAATAATTCAAAACACTCAGAATTTAAGACACCTTTATTAGATGAGATTGTAAAGCTGGTTAGAGACTTGGGATACAAAATGACACTGGTTTCTGGTAAAATTAAATTGCCTTTTATTTGGAAAAGTGTATGTTTAATAATTGACTTCCTACTGATTCAAACAATATGCAATCACTTGTACACATGCAATAAAGTAATTTCTGAAGCATGTGCTTGGTCATCAATTTGCTCTTCTCATCCTCCAAAATGCGTTAAAATCTTACGTGGCTCACACAGTGGCAGCTGCCCCCAGCACAATTCACCATGATGTGGCATTCTGCAAATGAGACTAGGCTGGTCTCTATCCAAGGTTTAGCTACCAGAAGACTTCCTGGGGCTTCCCTGGTGGCACAGTGGTTAAGAATCCGCCTGCCAATGCAGGGGACAAGGGTTCGAGCCCTGGTCTGGGAAGATCCCACGTGCCGTGGAGCAACTGAGCCCGTGCGCAACTACTGAGCCCGCGTGCCACAATTACTGAAGCTTGCGCACCTAGAGCCCGTGCTCCTCAACAAGAGAACCCACCGCAATGAGAAGCCCATGCACCACAACAAAGAGTAGCCCCCACTCGCCGCAACTAGAGAAAGCCTGCATGCAGCAATGAAGACCCAACGCAGCCAAAAATTAATTAATTAAAAAAAAAAAAAAAAGACTTCCTGGACCCTATGAAGACTGTACTACAGGAAAGGTCCTCTCCTCCACTTTCCTAACCAACTTCTCCAACTTCTAGTCACCTTCCTATCAATTAGAGTAAGATTCTCATGGGTTCACTATGTCTTTCTTCACCCTGACTCATCTATAAATTCACTACTCCTATTTTCTATAGTAAGACAATAGAAAGTGTATAACTGCTGTTGGTAGATAAGTAGGTCTTGAATTCAGTTTGCAAACAAGACCTGTTCTATCTACCTTTTCATTTAGGAGGCTAAAAGCAGAGTCAGCTTGACTTCAAGGACTCTGTTTTCTTAGTCTCCAGAAGAACATGACAAGTCCAGCTTTTAAAACACTGTCCTCTAGCATGTCAAGATATTGAGGGAATGGTAATCTATTACTTTTATAACTTCAAGCTTTAAGAGATTTGAACTCTTACATATGCTTGCTTCATGGCAACCAACGCTTAATGAATCTAAATGCAAGGTAACAGTTTGTGGGCTTCCCTGGTGGCGCAGTGGTTGAGAATCCGCCTGTCAATGAAAGGACATGGGTTTGAGCCCTGGGCCGGGAAAATCCCACATGCCACGGAGCAACTAAGCCCGTGCGCCACAACTACTGAGCCTGCGCTCTAGAGCCCGTGAGCCACAACTACTAAGACTGCGTGCCTAGAGCCCGTGCTCTGCAACAAGAGAAGCCACCACAATGAGAAGTCCACGCACTGCAACAAAGGGTAGCCCCCCGCTCGCCACAGCTGGAGAAAGCCCGCGCGCAGCGAAGACCCAACGCAAACAAACAAAAAAAAAGGTAACAGTTTGTGATTTGGAAAGATTGCACCCAGTCAGCATCTTTTCTGTCAGTTAGGAAGTCTCCCGGAAGGAGCGTAACCATGAGTTGGGCACAGCTATGCCCCAAGTTAGTAAAATGTCCCAAATATTTTAGAAATGCTACTGAACAGGGGCTAGTTCATGTCTTTCTACTTCAGGGCTTGTTTTCTGCTGTTCCCCAATCCCAGAAAAAAATTAAGCCCGACTAATTAATTGCCTTTTCTTCATTTTTCCCACACATTGATAGATTCAGGTTTTTCTGCTCTATTTCCACCTCACTCAAATCCTGGTAGAATTAAACTATCATTTATCTGAGTTATGCAAATTCAACTAAACAGTCTACAGCTGATTAAAACAACATGCAGTCATTCAGATATAACCGATAAAAATGTTTTTATACAATGAACTTGGATTCTAACCTTGCTGTCTCCCCTGTGCTCATTCCTAAGCCTAAATGTGGGTCTCTTCTTTGAAAGCAGCTTACAACATGTCCTTATATTCAAATAGACTGGACTGGAGACAAGAATATAATCCATTCACTGGGAAAGAATCCAACCAACATAGCTGAGATTTACCAGCTATGCATTTAAACAAAGCAGGAACTTACTTTTTACAAATGGATTTACTGAGTACACACATCACTTCTTGGTAAAGCCATCCTATTATTCGGCCACACAGCAAGATTTCTACCCTCTGACTTCCCTTCATATCCCAAATACCCATCCAATTAAGGGGGAGGGGTCAGTGAGAGAGAAGAAAAACAAGAGAAGCATGATCCAAAAATAAGGACAGAGCTCTGGAAAAGACACTTGATAGTGTCTTTTGTACAATTTATAAACCAGCCAGAGATTCCTGGGAACCTGGAATGAACACCACCCCCACCCCCAGCTCCTTGCCCACCCAAGTAATGCCTGTATAAAAGTTACTTCTT